CTAACACCAATTAAATGTTTATTCTGTACAGGTACCAGCAAAAAGTAAGTGCTTTATGTGTGTTCTTTCATTTAGCACAGGGGTCTGTGGCCTGTTAGGAACCTGGCCACACTGCAGGAGGTTAGTACTGACAAGGGAGCTTAGCATGATGTCAGATCAGCTGCGGCATTAGATTCGCATAAGAGCACAAACTCTATTATGAACTGTACATGCGACGGATCTAGGTTGCACACTCCTTATGAGAATCTAATGTCTGATGATCCCTCCATCCCACCTCCCCCAAATCCAGTGGAAAAATTACCTTTCATGAAATCAATCCCTGATGCCAAAAAGCTTGGGGACTGCTGATATAGCAGACATGATCTCTCCCTTTGTTTTGCTGCAGGTAATCAGGCCCAAGCTCTTGGAACTTCATCTTTTTTATTACCTCAACACATATTAAATATTTTTTGTTTGCTTTGATAGGCTTGATGCTAATTCCTGGGACTTGGTCACAAGTAAAACAAACTTGGTTTCTGCCTTCATGGACTTCCAAATAAAAAAGTGCTGATTAAAGTAACTTGCTAAATAAAACAATTCTGTCCTTGAGGAAATTGCCAGTTTTTATAGCAACTGTTTTTCTACTTGCTGCAATAGAAGAGTACAATAAAACAAATAATATAAAACAAAATTACAAAAGGTGCCACAGAGTAGGATGTGATTGACGCAGGAGTATGTCAGAAAGTATAAATAATTTGAGTTTAGAAGCTGATGAAATCACTTGGGTTAAATGTGAACCTCGAGACATTCTAGTGGAACAAACAGAAGGAAGGCAGGCAGGAAGGGCCGGGATAGTATAAAAATAGACTTAGTGCATAAGAGCAAAGCCTTTGGAGTCCAGCTCTGTTGTTTACTATGTAAGTCTAGGTAAATTCTCTCTAAGCCTATTTTTTTCTCCCTTAGAGAAGTGGTATTAATAATAGTATTTCCTCAGAGTTGTTGTATGGATTAAATGGGTAGGGGTGGGGAACAAAGCAAAACATGTAAAGCTCCTTAAATAATGCCAGGAGTGGCCGGGCTCAGTGGCTCAGCCTGTAATCCCAGCAATTTGGGAGGCCAAGGCAAGAGGATTGCCTGAGCTCAGGGGTTTGAGACCAGCCTGGGCAACTTGTCTCTACAATAAGTCAAAAAATAAGCCAGGTGTGGTATCATGTGCCATAATTCCAGCTACTTGGAAGGCTGAGGTGGAAGGATCATCAGAGCCCAGCAGGTCGAGGCTGTGGTGGCCATGAGTGTGCCACTGCACTCCTGCCCGGGGAATAGAGTGAGACTCCACCTCAAAAAAAAAAAAAAAAAAGCAAGCCAGGAGTATGATAAGTGACAAGCAAATGTCCAAAAAGGAGCAAAGGCTCTCTTTGTAAGGTCCTTACACTTTAAACGTTTGTGAAAATAATATTTTTGAAGCATCTTACATTTACATAAAGTGTTTTTTCTCACATACATTATTAATTTTTCTAGCAACTTTTAAGGTAGACATGATTGTCATCCTTTATTATGCAGAAGTGGAAATTGAGGCTCAGTGAGATTAGGAATTCCTACATGGCTTGAAAGGGCTGGGGGACAGGACCTTGAGTCTAGACCTTGTGGTTCCTAATCTTTTAATCCTATCTTAAAAATCAACTACTCCCACAGAGTAGTTGATAACCACAGAGGAGATAACTCAAATGTTTAACAAACAACAGCTTAACCAAGGACTTTCATCAAGAATAAATCTGGGCATCTAAAGAAGTGTCAGAAGTGGGAGTCAAACACAAACTCTATCTGCCTTAATTAGGCCTAGAAATTACTGGTCAAATATAAATCCACCGAATTCTTCATCAAGTGAAACGACTAACTTATGGTATGTCCTTACATGGACTACCATGAAGTCAATAAAATCAATGAGGTAGATCTATAAGTACTGGCCTTTAAAGATGTTCATACACGGCGAAAAAGGCAGGCTGTGGCACGCAATGCAGAAGACAGACTTTATAAATGTATTGTTGAAGACAGCGGACAACACCCATTCAGTGACTGACCCAGTCTGCCCCTCTCCTTTCCTAGTGCCTGTGGTCTCCTTTCCACACTACTACTCCCACACCCCAACACAGCCCCTTTCCACAACTCCCATTTCTCCTGAGCCTCCCTATCTTCTCTCAGGACTCTTGCCCACTCTCTGGCTCAGCCTTCGCTCCACTCGACATCGCCAGCTCCCATTTCAACTAAGGCCGGGAAAGACCAGCCACGGATGAGACGCGCATGCGCGCGTGGAACTTCCCAGACGAGCAGTCAGCATGTTGTCCCGCCCCCGGAGCCGAGCCCGAGAGCAATTGGGTGCTGTTTAGCACCAAGATTGGCAGGCCCTTCTCACCCAACCCTGGCGGCCCACTTCCGCTCAGTTCTCGTCCCACCTCGCCAGGGCGCGCCTTTTGGCCCTTGGAATCTGCGTTGCGTTTGCGGAGGTTGCGGTTTCTTGCGCTTTTCTTGGTCCCTGTCGCTTTTGAGACTGTTTTGCAGACGCTGGTGTTAAGGTTGTCATGCTCCTGGTATTTACAACAAGGCCCTCTAAGGGCCAGAGATAGACCAGATTTACTTTAAGTAGGAAACTGATAATTAGAAACTGACTTTAGAAAGCCCGCCCTCGCCCCATGGGAGATTAGAACAGCCTACTTCATTGTGCGAACTAAATTTCATACATAACTCGATAAATTGACAACTCAGTACATTAAATAGTAACAATAGCAGCTAACCTTACCTAGGCTTACAATGAACAGTCACTGTTTTGATTCCTGCTATGGACTGAATGTCCCTCTCCGGCTCCCCCACCCCCAACACACACACCCCAGTGTGGCAATATTGAGAGGAGGGGCCTTAAAGAGGTGATTGGTTCGTGACTGCCCTCATTAATGGATTAACCCATTCATAGATTAATGGGTTGATGGACAAATAGGTCATCTCAGAGAGGGAATGGTGGCTTTACAAGAGGAAGAGAGGCCTGAGCCAGCACACTCAGCCCCCTGACCACGTGATGCCCTGCGCTGCCTCAGGACAGCAGAAGGCCCTCACTGGATGCAGCCCCTTGACCTCACACCTCTCAACCTCCATAAACGCGAAGAAATTCCTTTTCTTTTTAAATTACCCAGTTTTAGGTATTCTGTTATAAGCATCAGAAAACAGACTAACACAATCTCTTTACAACAACCTCACAATCTTTATTTATAAAGTAGGTCTCACTATCCCCATTTTACAGATGATTCTAAGGCAGAGAAGAAACTTGCCCAAGATCACCTTAATGATAACTGGTAGAACTCAAATCAGAACTCTAATAGAAGTAATCTGGCCTCATGTCCAATACCACCAGTCATTGCACTCTGCTTCCTCTGAGAAAGAAACCAGACAGAGTAAAATTAGTTGGGAGTTCAAGAAACAATTTATTGAAGCTTCCTTTTTCTTTTATTCAAGTTTGAAAAACATAGGAGAGAGGCTAGGAAGAGACTGAGAAGAAGACCAAGAGGTTCTGAGTTCAGAGAATTGAGAAGTTAGAGGAGGTAAATTAGCTAAGAGAACACACAAATACCTACATCCTTCTAAAAAAATTTATTGGGGTGAAATTCACATGTCATAAAATTAGCCATTTTAAAGAGAACAATTCAGTGACAGAACATTCACAATGTTGTGCAACCACCACTTCTATCCAGTTCCAAAACATTGCCATCACTACAAAGGAAAATTTCATACTCATTGAGTCACTCACTAATCCCTCTTCCCCCAAGTCCCTGGCAACCACCAATATGTGTTCTGTCTCCATGGATTTAAATATTCTGAATATTTCATATAAATGGAATCATACAATAAGCCTTTTGTGTCAGACTTCATTCATTTAGCATAATATTTTCAAGTTTCTTCTACATAGCATAAATGAATACTTCATCATTTTTATGGTTAAATAAAATTCCATTGTATGTACATAGCACAATTTATACATTCATCTAATGATGGACACTTGGACTGTTCCAAATTTTGACTGCATACCCCAAAACTCCTACATCATTTTGAAACCCTTCCTTAAGACTATAATAGTATTAATATAATAAACTATTGAATATAATAAATAAATATTTTGAGTCAGAGTTTCTCAACCTTAGCACGGTTGACAGAACTCTTTGTTGTGGGAGGCCAGAGAACTCTTTGTTGTGGGAGGCTGACCTGTGCATTGTAGGGATTTTAGCAGCAATACTGACCCCTGTGCACTAGATGTCAGTATCATCCTCCCAGCTTAAAGACGGATAATGGCTGGAGACACTGCCAATGTCTCCCGGAAGGCAAAATTACCCCCCTTTCTCACTGAAAACCACTGTTTTAAAGGATATTCTGTAAATATGGAGCAAATATGACGGGCACTAGAGCAAAATACTAAAAGTAATGGCATTTAAGAAATGGATATTCTTTGGAAGTTTGTATATGGAAGTATTTTTTGTTTACTGTGTAATGACGTTAAGGAGTTTGCAGATTTACAAATGTGTGACAGCCAGAAAAATCTTATCATTAAATATTCATGTACCTTTCATACGTAACATCAGTAGTATAAACCCAGATAATCCACAACTCCAAGAAATATAGCTTCCCCCAATCCCAAGCACATTACATACTAAATCACATTTATAGCACACTGCATCATATAATTTTTAAGATGACAACTAGGTGCAAGATTTGTAAGATGTTTTTGATATGATAATATTTATTTTTTCAAATAAAAGCTCAGGTGGAGCCCACAAGAAATTTTCTATTTGGCTCAGCCAAATAATGAAAAGATGAATGCTAATTTTCATAATTGGGATACAGTGAACCAAAATATGATTTTTTACATTTACTGTTAAAGATTTTGATAAGTCAGTTGTGGAAATGCTTAATGAGTACATAAACACCTTTGCCGTCAAAAAACTGTTAAGATCAAAACTGTCATGGAAATGGTTCGAGCAGCCTTAGGCACAGATGGCGTTGGTGTAGAGTCCACAGCAGTTAGCAAGGGCCGTGGCACTGAACTCCTTGTCTTCCCAGGGACCAGAAAAAGAAGGAGGGTTGGTGCCATTCAGGAAAGTACTAAAATAAAAAGCCAGAGAGAGATAGTGGGTCAGATAAAAACAAGGCAACAAAACAGTAAGTTGTACCAAGTAGCTAAAAACAAAAACCTATAAATGGATCCATCAGCCATGATTTTTTAAATAAGTAGACCCAGCCGGGCTCGGTGGCTCAGCCTGTAATCCCGCACCTTTGGGAGGCTGAGGTGAGTGGATTGCCTGAGCCTGCAGGTTCGAGACCCGCCTGGGCAGCGAGACCTCATCTCTACAATAAATCAAAATATCAGCCGGGCGTGGTAGCACATGCCTGTAATTCCGGCTACTTGGAAGGCTGAGGCGGAAGGATTGCCTGAGCCCAGCAGGTCGAGGCTGCGGTGGTTGGGAGCGGCCACTGCACTCTAGTCTGGGCGAGAGAGTGAGACTCCAACTCAAAAAATAAAAATAAAAAATAAGTAGACCCTATTAAATTTATTTTCTCATTCATACCCAAGCTAATACTATCAAGGAACTCTATACTATGTGTCTGTTCCTTTACCCAATTCCTAACTGTAGTCCATTTGGAAATTTCCAGATATCTCTGAGGTAAAATTGATGGCTTGTAATGATTTGGTATTGAATTTATTCTAAAAAATAAGGTGGTACTGCAAAGCCACTTTACTCTTGAGAGAGAAAAACAGCTCAGACTTAATTTGTATAAATTTATTGAACAAAAACATACTCTTTTTTGTATTCTACATGTTAATGATCCTCAGTATGTGGCTTTAGGAAATCCATCAAACTGTCACAAGAACATAAGAATCAAAGCAGTGCCAGACCAGTGATCCATCTAGCTTATAATTTGTCTTTAATAGTACATCAAAATAATTTTTTTTAGAATACACTCTTGGATGATAACCTCCAAACGCAGGAGGGGTAACATCTGTTAACTTGGCATAATAATCCATTAAGCAGCTAGCACCCCAACATCTACCTACATAAATAAAAGATCATTCATTTAATGATAACTTCCAAACCTATCTCCAGCTCTTACTTCTCTCATAAAGCCCAGACCTCAGTTGACTTATGAATAGCTTTACAGGGTGGTCCCACAAGTACCTCCAAGTAAACATATCCAAAACTGAATTAAGCCATCTCTCCCCTTTTCTCCCATTCCTAAAACCAGTCCTCCTCAATGAATGAATGGCACTCTTTAGGTCCACTTACTCAACCCAGAAAAGACTGTCATTTGAGACTCCATTCTCTCCCTCAACCCACCCCTTCCTCCTATCTAGCCAGTGACCAAACCCTATGGATTCTACTTGGTCTAGTGAATCTCCAACCTGACAACTACTTAGTATCAGTTCTTATCATCTCTTACTGGGACTAGTATAGCAGTGTATTTATTGGTCTGTTTGTCATCCAAATAGCTATCAGAATGATCTTTCAAAAAAGCATAACTGATCATGCCAGTGTTTAGAATTTGGCAGGTCAAAATCTAAATTCCGTAGCATTTCATACGAGGCATTTTATGATCTTTCAGTCTTTTTTCTTATAACTCTCTTCATTCACTCATCACCGCGAATTCACATTTTGAAGGCACCAAACATTCTAGTTCCTCAAATCCTTCCTTTTGTGCTTTCCAAAACCAGTTTTTTTTTTGTTTTTTTTTTTGAGTTGGGATCTCACTCTGTTTCCCAGGCTGGAGTGCAGTGGCATGATCATGGCTCTCCACAGCCTTAACCTCCTGGGCCTAGGCAATCCACTTCAGCCTCTCCTGTAACTGGGATTACAGGCACATGCCACTGTGCCCTGCTAATTTTTTGATTTTTTTTTTTGTAAAGACAAGGTCTCACTATGTTGCCGATGCTGGTCTCGAACTCCTGGGCTCAAGCAGTTCTCCTGCCTCGGCCTCCCAAAGTGCTGGAATTACAGTACAGGCATGAGCCACCACACCCAACTGCCTCCAAACTAGTTCTGTTAGCTTAATGATATATTCTCTTATTCTCATATGCTAGAATTTGGTAAACAAGTTCAGTTTTACACTATTTGAACTTGTCATGATTTTTAAAATCAACTTTATCCTCTTTAGTATTCTTCATTTCTGGCTGAAGAAACCCATAGTCTTCTAGCCACTTAGGATCATTGCTAAGTCTTTACCTTCAACCTATCTATATTCTAATCACAATAAATACAGTAACTTCTTATCAGGGAAACTGCTCTTCCTTACTTCCCTTGCCCCTTTACATCTCAGTACCCCACCAATACAGCTAGAACCTGTCACTGGAACACACTAAGCTCATACTGAAGATGCACCTAATAAGAGAAAAAAACATAGACCTAGGCTGTTCCCACTACCCATGGCCCTTCTCATACATTCTATTCAGCCTCCATAGGATTATCCTAAAGACCTCTTGTTCCCCACTGCCAGGTGACTCCCGAGTGAAGGACATATAAGAGGAAAGAGGCGCTCACTCACCTCTGAAAGAGCCCTCTGCAGCACACGTAGGTCTCGTAGGTTCTATTGGTGAAACTTGTGTTTAAGAAGGAGACACAGTCAGCTTCAGCTCCCCTAGGGACATAGAGGATTCCTGGATAAAGGAGACAGAGATACAAAGAGGAAATTCTTACACATGTTCTTCAAGGCTATTTATTCTTTGGGTATGAATTGAGAACACCATAGGTTAGATGCTTTTTCTATGCATCTGTGGGTCAGATGGTTAAATCAATATTCCAAGAGAAATCCAGTCATGGTCTAGGTTAGTGATTTCTGCCAAGAGATCAAGCCGAGGCACCTACCTGCCACACATGCACTGATAAGGGATACACAGGCCCCTGTGAAGAGGGCACTGATCACAGTCTTGGACATTTCACTCTTCCGTTGAGGTGCCATTGATGCTACACACAGCAAAACAAAATAACTTGATTTTTTCCCCACCAGGCAATCAGGTATATCCTATGAGTTCCCATTTAGAAGAATGTAGAGGAACAAAACATAGCAGATGAATAGAGTCCTTACTACCATACACCTGAGGCTGGCCAGTGCTTCCCTAAGAATTGTGTATATACATTAGTCCTGAAGGATCACTAACTCAGACTTTTCTCAGGTCAAGAATTGTGTGTCTGACCCTAACTTAAGTGGTTCTGTGAATATACCCAAGATGTATCTCGATCAAGTAAGGCCCTGAGTTGCTCCAGACAGGTGCAATTGTCTTGTGTTCACCACTTGAGATCTGCACTCAAAAGCCTGGACCAGAGTTAGATGAACTATTCTGAGCCAGAAGGCTAAGGAAAACAACACTTACCTAAGCCTTAGCCACACAGCACATATCCCACTATTAGATAACAATCTCTTAATCAGACAGTAATCAGACATCAGAATCAGAACAATACAGACAGGTGTTTAACAGAAGGAAAAAAGATCAACTGAAAAGAAATTGCTTCCCCTTAAAATTAAATCAACTACCAAATAAATGAATTTAATGACTCTACCCCAGAATATAATTGCCTGAAAATATGGACACACTGGACTGTATTTGTTTTTATCTTCTATTTTTTCTAAGATGTATTTCTATTTTGGATCTTCCAAACTCTTGAGATCTACTAGTCATCACCCTCCCCTGCCCTGCCCTGCCCTCAAGGACATTTCCACCTTCCTCACATTATCCTTCCAACCATAACCCACATTCAGTTGTATCTCCAGCAGTCTAAAATATATCTGTGTCTGCTTCAAAGATTCACTCCTCCCATCCCTAGTGCTTGTAGCTTTCAATTCAATACTTTATACCACTCGCTTTTGCTATCTGTTTTATGTGTCTGCTGCTTTTATTTATCTTTTGATTCCTTGTGCAAATCCTGCTTCTGTGAAGCCATCTAGTAAGTGGCCTAGTTTCAGAAAGTACCCTCACTACTGAATAAAAATAAGATATCTCTACTTATATATGCACTGTGCCAATTGAATGGCAAAATAGAAACAATATTATAATATTTACTCCCTCATAGGGAAAGTTAAAATAAAATTGGTCTCCCATTCAAAGGCAATAAAATGAAGTTGACATTGTAAAGGGCTCTATGCATAGCCAGGTAGCATAACTGCCTTAGCTCCAAGTTAACTACAGCCTGAGCAGGCCTGTTTCGCATCAGCTTCTCTATCTGGTCCCAACTTGTACTGAAGCACCAGGACTTCCCACCACAAAAGCTGGGATCTGGCTGGCTTATTGGGGAGCTGGGAAAATGGATAAACTCACTCAAGCCTCCTAATGTAATTCCTATGGAACTAAGATTGGCAAATCCACAGAGTGAAAATGTTGTAATGATTTCAGCTCTCACCTAGAGAAAACAAAAATAAATAAGCAAATAAACTCAGTCCTATGTATGCAGTCTTATAATCATGATAGAAGTTCCAGAGTACTTAAGAGTCCCCAGTCTTTTCCACACTTCCCTAAGGAATGTGAAAGGATGCTCAGAAAATAACTGCTCCCTCAGTTACTCTTGGGATAATGATATGGAAACCACCATGGGCCTCATTGCCCAGCACTTTTTGTTGATGCTTCTGCATTAAGAGAAAGCCTAGAATGAGGAGGACTCGGAGGAAATGGGTAGAGGCAAAGGGAGAGACCAAGGATACTAATTTATAGCAATTTAAACTTGTAAATAAGGAAGGGGACCTTAGACCATCAAAAAGTGTCTGTTCTGGACTGCCCCAACTGTAAAGACCCAACAATTATGTTATAGAGAGAAGTTGGGTTAGAGTGTCAGGAGAAAATAGCACACAGACTTCAGTGGCCCAACCACTGAAGACGAGGCTGCTAAGCAAACTGTTCTGCTTGCTTTGTGGTTAGGACTGCATCCCTGGAAAGGTATCTGTGGGTCTTCAGCAAGCTTCTGTGTAGTACTCTTTCTCTACCCTGTGATAACCATGGCTGAGACCTCATACTGTTTATGCTTTTCTAGGTTGTCACTTACAGAAATCCACTGTTTCTCGCCCTCGATCCACTCTTCCACTCCGGAGAGACGTTTGTTCTTGTATTGAGACAGTTGCTGATAGGCCACAAACTCATTGGTGAAGAACTTGATTCCCACCAACTCAGCCACTATTGGACAGTCTGTCCACTCTACACCCATCATGAAAACCATGGGCCTTAGGATATAGGAGCAGATGACCTGAGTGAAAGAGAAGATATCCCAGGAAAAGGGAGGACTAATAAGAAGTGTCAAGGACCTTCTCTGAATCCTTGACCCAATCTTTTCCATACTTCTCCTGTTCATGCTGTCTCTTAGCATATTGTGGGTCAAGAGGACATGAACAGTTCAAGGATTACTTAACCACATCCCAGAGGGACAGCCCAACAAATGTAATCCTTTACCTGGAAAGAGAGCCCCTGTATGTCCACCAGTTCCCCCAGCCAGGAGAGGGCAGCATTGATGAAGGCCAACACAGCCAAAAAAGCGATCAGGTTGGCTGCTACATTAGTAGCAAGGCCTATGGCATCTGTGGCTCCACTGCTGGCAGCTTCCAGGATATTCTTCTCTTTCCTGTGGGGGTTATTGGGTACAGGGGGAAAGTATGGTGTCTAGAGTAATCTCAGCCTCTTAGAGAAAAGAAATTCCCCTGTTCCTATGGTGCAGAGAGAGGGTGCAAAGCCATTGTAGGATCTGATTAGTGGAAATTACTCTGAAGCAATATCAGATATAATCGCCATTAAATTGCACTGACACCAAGGACAGAGGATACTGGCATGCAGAAGCTAGTGGCAGGTAGGAAGGTAAAACAAAAGAAGAAAATCAACATGATTCACTGGAGTCAGAGATAGGCAAGAGGGGATGTGGAACCACATTATTCTCCCTTGAGGAGACTTGAAGTCTCTGCCACCACAGTGCCACTCTTGACTCTGCACCTCACCACTACCCAAATTATATGCCTCCTAGGACTCACCCACGAGGCAGTATTACCCCCTCCTCACTCTTGAACTTGGACTCCTCCACTTCGGGATATACTAGCTTTGATAAGGCGAGAGCGCAAGGGGCAGCCATCACAGAGGCAGAAATCAAGGATGATGCATCAACCTGTGAGGCCAGACTTAGGGATCAGTGTCGCAGTAGAACCCAACTCGGGCTCACCCAGGAGTGATCAAGCGGACCCTTCCTACCCCAAAGGATATGAAGGCTCCCAACACAGTGCCTGAAATGGTAGCAAACCCTCCAGTCATCACTGCATGGATTTCAGAGAGCGTCATGTCTCCAAGGTAGGGACGGATGAGCAGAGGTGCCTCTGTCTGTTAACAAATAGAAAACAGATTCCGTGAAGGTGAAATTCCCTGCTCCAGAGTGCCCACCTCACACTCAGAGGCTGGACCCACTCAATACACATCCCTCTAGTTAGTACCTTCAGTGAAGCACAGCCCTGCTTAGTGAGCACCAAGTTCTGCTCTCAGGTCTTCCCAGCATCTGCTTCAGTCCCTCTGGCACCTAATCCTGTCCTAGCTGGCCTAGCTGTCACTTCTTTTCTTTTTTTTTTTTGAGTTGGAGTTTCACTCTGTTGCCCACACTAGCTCCCGGCCACACTCCCGGCCACCTCAGCCTCAAACTGCTGGGCTCCAGCGATCCTTCCACCTCAGCCTTCCAAGTAGCTGGAACTATAGGCATGCGCTATCACACCCGGCTAATTTTTTGATTTATTGTAGAGATGAGGGCTCGCCAAGTTGTCCTGGTGGGTCTCGAACCCGGGGGCTCAGGCAATTCACTCACCTCGGCCTCCCAAAGCGTGGAATTACAGGCTGAGCCACCGACCCTGGAGTCACTTATTTTCATACATGCTTGTTTCATCTATTGACTTTAAAATGTTATAGAAGAGAAATGGTATATGTCCTTTATATGTTCTCAATGTCTGAAACCATGCATTTACTGTATGTCCTTATGAAATGCAGTGTTCTTAGTGAGTACCTAGTAGAGACTTTAAAAATACTCCTTAAATGAGGCCTGGCATAGTAGCAGCACTTTGAAAGACCGAGGAGGGAGGACTGCTTGAGCCCAGGAGTTTGAGTCCGGTATGGGCAATATAGCAGAACTTCATCTCTACAAAATATCAAAAAATTAGCCAGGTGTGCTGGCATGTGCCTGTAGTCCCAGCCACTCAGGAGCCTGAGGCAGGAGGATTGCTTAAGCCCAGGAGTTTGAGACTTCAGTGTGCCATGATTATGCCACTGCACTGCAGCCTGGGCAACAGATGAGACCCTGAATGAAAAAAAAAAAAAAAAGATGAAATGCAAGTAGATGATGTGAGCCCATTGTTTATGAAAGAATCAAAAGAAATAATGTTTGTGAAAATGTTATAAAATCATAAAGACCCAACTATGTAAACTATACTTAGTATTGACCTAAGATACTGTTATTTATTATTCAATGAGTGCCAGCTAATCGCTAGAGACAATAATATAAATAAGGCTAAGTCCTTACTCAGAGGAGCTTATAATCTAGCAGAAGAAACTAAGCTGATTATGGATAATTTCAGCAAAATGTAGAGTGCTGTGATAGAAATATCCAGAAGTACTTGGAGAACATTACAGAAGCAGAGCCTTGGCAGGGAAAGACCTCAGTACTAATTCCTTATGAATTTGACAAACGATTGTCTTCAGTATTGAGCTAATCAGTCAATAGCATATATTGAGCACCTCCTTCATACAGACATATGTACCACACAAGTCTCATGGGGAAAAGCATTGGTGTTAATCCTGAACAAGACAAACTATTGCCTCCTTAGAGACCCTGGAAAACAAGGGCCCCAGGAATTCACCGAGAGAAACCAGAATATAGATCAAACACCCTGTATATAGCCTCTGAAGGGGAATAAGATTTGGACCAGGACATTCCCCTAAATTCTTGTGCAAGAATTTGTAGTCAGAAGAAGTGGTGAAGGACGTCCATTCAGATTAAGTATGCCCAGGCAAGTATTACTAGGCCCAAAGGGGAAATGCTATAAGTTGAGTCTTCTTTAAGCTGCTGAGTTCTTTCATCAAAGATTGACTGCCCCTACATTCTTCATTTATGTGACCTTTCAGAAGGAAAACATACATTTCTGAAACTGTTTTGTGTCAAATTCTCAGTTCCCCAGAGGAAAGAAGACTAGAAGACCTTAGAGTACTTACCATACCCACAAAGATGTTTCCTGCCACAGCCAGGGTCTCTGTGGCAGTGGTGCCCATGGTGACTTGCAAAAACCAGGCAACCTAAAAGGATAAACCATTAACATTAGCAGGAATCTTGAAGAATGTCCAGCAAAACCTGGTGTCTTCCATTTTATTGATAAGGAAACTGGGGCCTAGAGAAGTAGAGCAACAAATCCAAGACTACAAAGCAAGTTATAGACAGAGCCTTGACCAGAATCCAAGACTCGTGGTCTTTAGAACAAGTATATTAAAACTCAGCATGAAAGGCTCATCTAGCCCATTTTCTTTTTCTTTTTCTTGTTTGAGTTGGTGTCTCACTCTGTCGCCCAACCTGGAGTGCAGTGGCACGCTCACTCACCACAGCCTCTACCTGATGGGTTCCGGTGATCCTTCTACCTCAGCCTTCCAAGTAGCTGGAACTACAGGCACACACTACCATGCCCGGCTTATTTTTTGATTTACTGTAGAGACAAGGTCTCACCAAGTTGCCCAGGCTGGTCTCGAACCTCTGAGCTCAGGCATTCTTCTTGCCTCAGCCTCCCAAAGTGCTGGGATTACAGTCTTGTACCATCGCACCCGGCCTCCAGCCCATTTTCTCTCCCTGCTCTGCCTCTCAGCCTATGTGAGGCCCGGACTGACAATTTGATATCAGGCACACTGGTAAAGGTTTACCTTTTCACATTGGTTCTAACAATTATGAGCATTTTTCCAAAGTTGAAAGATCGTAAGATGAAGGCCTATCTCCTGATTGGTGTAGGAGAATGACTCACCTTCTGAACTGCCCACTGCATAAGGCCCAGGTAGTAGAGAATGGACATAATGCATCCAAAGAAAATGATGATTGGTAAGGACTGTAATGAGAATGGTGAGCAGCTGGTGAGATATTGCGTTGTATGTGCTGTGTAGACCATAACTGGACTATGTTTCAGGCTTCTAAATTAAGCTCTCAGCATTCCAAGAGCATCTGATACAGTATAAATATTCAGTATCTGCAAAGACTAGTTTAGAAATAAATTTATAATCTATTGCAAATCGATTAGCCTATCAGTACTAAACCACAAGATGTTTTCTGAGCCTTTTCCCCTGACCCCTATTTCATCAAATTTTAGGATGGTAATGATCAAAGGGCAAGAGATTGATGCACTTTCCTTTACTGATGAGATTAAATAATCTTCTTAGAGTCAAACTGGTATTCAGGCTGACTAATCTCTCGAACACACATTTATCCTCTGCTTTACTTCCCCACCCCTCATCTGACCAGCATTCCTTCCAAAAAAAGATATGACCTGAAAAGCAAAGACATCCTTGATAAGTGTATCTCCAAAGACGAAACTGGAGCCAGCCACAGTGTAGTTCAGGAAAATCTGAAGTAGGGGAGAAAAAGAGAAGAGTGAAGCCCAGAAGGACACAGGGGAAGATGGGACCAGTCTCATGTGTGATTAGGACCTACTACTGCTACTGAGGTTGGCTTCTCTTTAACAGCCTGGAGCCAAGCTATGTCCCCAGGAGTTGCTCACTGAATGACAAAAGACTCCACAGTTTAGTTCCTTTATTCATATTCTAGGCTGCACCGCAGTATACTGTCTCCCAACTAGATCTCCCACCACATCATTAATAAGGAACAGCCTAATCTTTGCATGCTTCCCTCAAATCTCCTTTCTCTAGGGTTCTAAAAGAGCAAAGCCCTCACAATCAATGTCTCATACCTGAACCTGCTCTCCCAGCCACTGAAACGCAATAAATCCAGGATCAGTTCTGATGACCAAGATCCCAAAGACAAATTGAAGGCCCAGGCCCCAAAACACTGTCCTCCATGACACCTGAATCAATAATTATCACAATTATTTCAGTGTAAAATAAACCCTAAACCCTACTTGACCATTACCTGGTTGGAGTTTTAAACATGGGTACATGTACTATGGGTGGAACCAACCTAGGCTGTTAATAGTAAATCTGGGGTAAAATGGTGTAGGGAACAGGGGAATGGTAGGGAGAAACAGGGAAGTAATATAAAAAGAGCCAAATATGACTACATGGCTCATTATTTATTTTACTTTATTTTTTTTGTTGGAGTCTCACTCTGTTGTCCAGGCTGAAGAGTAGTGGCATGCTAATGGCCATTGCAGCCTCGACCTGCTGGGCTCAGGTGATCTTTCTGCCTCAGCCCTCCAAGTACCTGGAACTACAGGCATGCACCACCTCACCTGATTAATTTTTTGATTTATTGTAGAGACAAGGGCTCACCAAATTGCCCAGGGGCTCAGGCAATCCTCTCACCTCAGCCTCCCAAAGCGCCTGGCCTACATGACTTTTAAAAACGTGTCTAGAGGTTAGATGATATACACGCATACCTATATACAAATAAAAGTTTCATAAACCAACACTTTAGCGTTACTGTGTGCAATGCAAGCTGGTTCTCTATTGTATTCTACTTTCTTTCTTTTGTCCTTATTTTTTTATTTTGTTCTTTCTTTGACATTGATCTAGATTCACAAGATTGATATCAAGACTCACTAATGGGTCACAACTCACAGTTTGAAAAGAGATGGTTGGCTAGGCATGGTGGCTCAAGCCTGTAATCCCAGCTCTTTGGGAGACCGAGGCAAGAGGATTGCCTGAGCTCAGGGGTTCAAGACCAGCCTGGCAACTTGGTGAGACCTCATCTCTACAATAAAACAAAAAATAAGCCAGGTGTGGTAGCATGCGCCTGTAGTTCCAGTTACTTGGAAGGCTGAGGCAGAAGGATCACCTGAGCCCAGCAGATCAAGGCTGGGGTGGCCGTGAGTGTGCCATTGCACTCCAGCCCGGGTGACAGAGTGAGACTCCAACTCAAAAAAAAAAAAAGAAAAGAGATGGTCTAGGGCCTCTGAGAATATTAAAACTTCTCTTAGGAACAAAATCATCAAAAAAGAAAATTCCAGGGGCTGTTAACCTAGTTCCATGCCTTTGTAGTTAACATCTACACTTGTACTTTGTAATTAAAACTTGGCCCTTAGTTATATGTTGCTATGCCCAAACCGAATACCCAAAACTTACTGCACGGTGATGTTTGGAGCAGGCAAAAAGGATGATGACAAACATGCAGATTCCTGCAAAGGAGATCAACTGCTCTGGCCTTTGGGCTGTGTCTAGACACAGCCACAGTATAAGGCCAACCAAGGAGACTCCTGCAAACACCCTGAAGAAGAAATGCCAAGACCATGTCATCGATTCAGTGAATGAACAACAAATAACTTTTAGAGAGTCTGAAAGTTATTCTCTCATCCCTGGCCTGTGATCAAAGGATGAGCTGTAGTTGCTGTAGAATCCAGTTTAGCGCATACTGAATAGTAAGTTGGCTCCTTACACTCTAAGAAATTGTGAAAGGCACCAGTGGGTGCAGGAAGTTTGGAGGACTAGAGGGAAAAAAGCATAAACTATATCAGGGAACTAAGAAAGACAGATGACCACCAAATCAATTTGATAGGTTAATGCCACTATAGGCCTCTTGGTTCTGATTACTTTGTTGAAGAAGAGTATGGTTTTTCTCATTTCTGACACAGGCCCTGATGAGTAACAGACTGAAACTTTTCTCCAAAACTAAGCCCCTCCTTGCCCCCTAACAATGTGGAGACCCAAAGCTACAGAAAATTGGACTGATGTCTAGCATTCAGAGGCCTGCTGCTGTTTGTCCTCTGCACCTTAGTTTTGAAAAGTACATGTGAGGGTCTGAGGGAAAGCTCAGGAACTGTCAAAAGAGAAAAAAGGGAGATGATTTGGAGTTTGGGATAAGCTGTGAGGCCAGGAATATTAAGATTCTTGTCTTACCATTTTGTCCAAAACCTCAGGCGGGAGTTTTCAAAAGGCTTCAGACAGCTTGTTAATTTTTGGCCAAAGAGTTTTTTCAGAAAGCGGTGAACCAGGACAAAGATGACAAAACAAGTGATGACAAACAAGGCCAGTGCCCTTTGGAAATTCAAGATGCAAGCTGCCAGGAAGTAGGCAGCATAGGCTGAAAAGAGAAGGTGCAGAGCAGGGATCAGCAAGGCAGAACTTCCAAAGGGCAAATGAAGCTCCAGTCATCAATGCCTGGGTCTTCAAACCCTCCAGAGACCGTGCCACCCAGCCCTATGTCAGACCAAGCTGCACTTTTAAGGACAGGACAGATGTCTAGCTGCTCTCTTCTCTTGAGGATTCCCAAGGAGAGTCCAACTTAGTTTGGAGACCACATATTTTCTTTTCTTTTTGAGTTGGAGTCTCCACTCTGTTGCCCAGGCTGGAGGGCAGTGGCACACTCACGGCCACCCCAGTGTCGACCTGCTGGGTTCCAGAAATCCTTCCGCCTCAGCCTTCCAAGTAGTTGGCACTATAGGTGCGTGCTACCATACCCAGCTAATTTTTTGATTTATTGTAGAGATGAGGTCTCGCCAAGTTGCCCAGGCTGGTCTCAAACCCATGGGCTCAGGCAATCCTCTCACCTCAGCTTCCCAAAGTGCTGGGATCATAGGCATGAGCCACCATGCCCGGCTGAGACCACATATTTTCACTTGTCCCTAATGAAATCTCATTCCCTTCTATTTTATCTGATATCCTTTAGATAGGATTTGATCAACATCCTCCATTAGACTCTTCAAAAGTCAGTCATCTCTTCTTGAAACCTTATCACCCCAGTCATTTTACCTGTCCTCTCCAGCAGAACCATGGAAACAAAGTTCCCATTAGGACATGCAGCCATATGGCCCTCATCCCATGGCTCCCTGACAAACCCAAAATATAATTTTTGTTCTCACCATCGCAGCTGCCTCTAATTTTGACATTGAAGCCCTATATGCCACTAACAGTATGTTTAAACAGAGCTTTGCTGTCTTTTAAAAATATTTTATATCACTGATCTCACTTGTAAAGCAGCAAATAAGTAATGTTTAATAATAGGCTTCTCTTATAAGACTACAAGAATCATGCATTGCCTCAAATCAAGACACTAAAAAAAGGGATAAGCTCATATTCTCTGAAATATTTTAAGTCTATCAAACAGCATAGTTTTGAAAATTTGTTTATTCTCAGATTTTACTTGTTTCTGTAAGTGCAATTCAATAAATTATGGTTCACCTACATGTAATTAAAACCTATACACCAAACAGCTCTTTAGATCGTTTTATGAATAAAAGTGTTTTCCATCTGGTAATCATCTTGACACAAAGTAAATTTCTAAAATAACTGTGTTTCTCATTTCCATGAATTCTCAGTATCTCACCCAAACACAACAGGCCCAACAGGATCTTCTTGAAGAAGCTGGCATATGTTTTGCAGAAACTTCTTGCCTTGGTGAAGGGCCATTGATTCCTCCTAATGATATACAAGAATTAAGATGTAAGAATTACTCTATCCCATTTGTATCAACTCTCATAATTTAGATGACCTAACCCAAGGCAGAATTTGCCCTCTGCTCTTAGTCTATGAAGAAAATTATTCGGGGGGGTGGGAGTTAGTATCCTACAATCCCAAAAAGGGCAAATCAAACCTTGCCAATGGGCAGGTGGTGAGAGTAACCCTACTCAGCTACGGTAGTCTCCTACCATAGAAGTAGGCACTGGACATATTGGTGATCTACTCCTTCCCTCTTCCCAAAAGACAGGTGATTTCTCAGTGTCCGTTTTCAGAAGAAGACCTATACTTAGAGGCAATTTGGTCATCCCTTCCTAAAAACCATGTAAACTCATAGCCTTTAACTGTCAGTCAGGTCTGCGTTGACAAACAGGAAGGAAAACACCACCAACCTCAAAAATTCTTGGATGGACAGGCCTGAGAGAAGATACCCAGCAAGTAGGGCTATTCACATCTGATTTAACATACAGATAGTGATGTCTATGTGCTGGGCACTTTGGAAATATGAACTCAATGACTCCTTCTAAGAACCCTAAAGGTGGTTACTATTATCATTCCCATTTTACAGATGTGGAAATTGAAAAACAGAGAAGAAACTCTCCCAATGTCACAGAGTCTATAAAGAGCAGGAGGAGAATACAAACTCCAGACTCTGGCTTCAGAATCTGAGCTCTTAACCATGTTCCTATGCTGCATCTTCCCTAGTCCTCAGGCTCACCTGTCTTTGCCACTCCTAAGTATCTTCAGTGTACTGCAGCCATGAGCAAAAAGCTGTAATTTCCAAACTCTTGGAAGCTTCCAAGAAGGTGAGCCCAGCAAGAAAGTCCCATTCTGGCCATCATGGTGAGGCAGGAGAGTTGAGCCATGGCTGGGACCAGGCACTAACTCCAGATGCCCTGGGGTCTTAGCCCAGAGTTTTATAACTCTTGCTCCATTGCTGCCTCTCCCATCTTAATACACTCCCTGTTCCTAGTCTTCCTTTTCATTCCTGCCTCTGTGCCCTCCTCACTGACCCTTCCTGCAGGGAAGCCAGCCCTGAGTTAGCCAAGCAGAATGTGTATTTTCAGATATGGAGTAAGCTGAGAAAGGAGAAAACAATGTTTATCATCATCTGATCAAACCAATAAGGAGGCTACATTAGGATCTCAAGAACTCTGCTACATTTCCATGCTCACTAGCGAAAATAATGTGTACAAGGGTTTGCTTAGAGGTGTCAGTGAACCTGAGGACATCATTATCTTTGAAACCTCATTCCAAAGTATATCAAGGAATGCATTTCATTTCAATCCCAGATGTCCCATGTGTGCCAGATATCTTTGGTGCACTCCTCCCGATCCACATGCCCTGATGCTCTGTGACCTCATACTCCAGCCCCTGTGCACTGCTTCCCTGGAATCCCACGCCCTCTCGCTTATCATGTTGGGTTCTGCCACTGAGACCCCACGGGAGATCCGAGTGTATGAAAAGACTGAGTGCAGCATATTAAGGTGATCGTCTTATCTGACTTCCTGCTGGGTTCTCTTACATCACGTCCCTCTAGGCCTAGGAATAGTAATTCCACACTGCTTCAAGCCTTGGGTTTTGCACTCTCCTTTCTTGTGATTCCACTACTTCTCACACACATCTCTGTAATGGTCTCTTTGTAAATAAATCCTCCTCTAATTATTCTAATTTAAGTACGCCATCTGTCGCCTGTTGGAACCCAAACTGATATATGAGCGGTAGCTGATTTAAAATTATATGCAGTCAAATGCCAGCTGAGCAAGGCCCCTGAAAAATAAGGCATGGTATGGACTAGTTCTAGAGTAGATATAAATTGCACTCATGGAAAGATTTCTGCTATCACCCCCTGACCTCAACTCGCCATTTCCTGGGAACTAAAGTTCAGTAGGTATTACAGGAACTCATTTAAGAACCACTTATTTCTGCAAAACACAGTAACAACCTGATCCTAGAATATTGAGTTGGAACCGGGCTTCTGGCCTACAAAATAAAACATTTTTAAAAGGATATAAGAGTCCTTCCAAAGGAAAAGGGAAAACCAGAGTTTTTACCCTTTTAACCCTAATGAGAAACAGTGCATAGAGGCACATGAGTCCTGATATCCTGCTTGGCCCAGGATCTTGCTAAGCCTACCAAGATCTTTCCATAATGGTATAGTTTGAGCATTAATAACTGTTATACCAAGAAGCTGAATTGAGAAGAAACCTGATAGATGGTGAAACTTGAAACCTTGCCCATAATTTGTTGTGATGTACCCACTGAGAAGTTCTCCAGGTATGTATATGGGAGACTTTCCAAATATGGACTAATGAAGACCCTCTCACTTACATGCTTACTGCCTACAGACCCAAGTGACAAGGTGAGAAAGAGTAGGTGAGGATGGTAGGCAATGAATGCTAACTGAACATCACTGCAGTAAGTGCTATAGATCAGGCCTAGCATCGAGGGTAGTCATGGATTTTCTCAGTTACCCTATCCACAAAATGTGGAAACTCTCCCATCTAAGGGAAGCAGAGCTATGGGAACTTCCAGGGTCTGGGGTACTGTCGGTTAGCAATTAGAGTGGAAGTTTAGGACAGCCTTCAGAGAATTCAGCTCCAATGACTGTTGACATTGTGACCCTGCATGGATTGCTGCTTTTCTCTCTTGAAGGACTAAAAGAAAGGAAATGAGTCAACCTAGAACCAAATGACGGTAAAAGAAAGTAAGGACCTTCAGGCATAAGTGACCGGAATCTTTTCAAGGGGTCAAAGGTCTTATTTTGATGAATGCTTAAAAAGAAATGTTCAGTGGGTACTGTAAGGGATACCACTCTGCCAGATTCAAAGTTATGTACACAATTGGTTGCTTTGTTTTATTTTGTTTTAGAGACATGGTCTCACCCTGTTGCCCAGGCTGACCATAGTGGTGTAATCATAGCTCACTGCAGCCTAGAACTTCCAGGTTCAAGTGATCCTCCTGCCTTAGCCTCCCAAGTAGCTGGGACTATGGGCATGCTCTACGACACCTGGCTAATTTTTTTAGAGACAGGGTCTCACTATGTTATCTAGGCTTATAATTGGTTTTGAACTGGAGGAGAGCTGGGTGGTGTTGTATAGGGACTAAAGAACAATTTCTAAATGTGTGGGAAAATGGCAACTGAGTCTGAGCGGCAAAAGGTTGTCAACTGCCAATGTGGAAAGCCAAATAGGGGTTGGTTGGAAAGCCAGGGAAGGCACAAGACAGGCCTATCAGATGGAAGTCAGCAAACACTGGAGACAGAGGATCTGCACAGTTGGGGATGGCCAGTTCTGAAAGCCTTCAGCCCAAGTAGAGTGAAGAAAGGAGCCTAAACCAGAGCACAGCCAGGTGCTCAACAATTGCTGAGTTGTGGTAAATGTGTTGCCTTGGAAAGGAGCTCCTGTTATACCACCCAGTGCCCACATCTCTGCTTGATATGCCATTTCAGACAATAGCAAACATCAGATCTTCACACTAACAATAGAGACACAATGCCAAAGGTCCACAGAGACAGAAAGAACCTGCATGGTGGGATTTCCACCTGGGCCTTTGATCTACCCTCTGCTTCTCCCTCCCAGAATGTATCTCTACAAGTTACAGGTTGCTGTGGTTCTGATTGTCAGTCGTGTCTCTTAGAGAAGGTGCTCTCTCTTACAAGGGGGTCATCACTCTATCTCAAATGGCCTTTTGGGGGGCAGGCCCTTCAGTTCTGCTTGCAAGCAAAAGTTTCTCTTGGTTTCAAGTATATGGTGAAGGAAATCAAAATATTTTACCCCAAAATATATTTCTTTGACATATTTTGAGATGACTGTTCAGAGAGTCAGCAAACAGAAGTAACAATGAAAATCTTGTCTTTTGTGAGGAAGACTTGCATTTGTAGAGAATCTGCATTAATACAACCAGTCCGTTATCCAGATCTATGCAAGGTTAATGGTCTGACACCTTTAAAGATCTGAAAGAAACACTTATCATCTATTCTGAGGTCTGTGAGTTTTCATTTTTTTGACAAGACCACCTGTGCTAGCCATGCCTCGTCTTTTCTTCCTCCCATAACATGCCTTGCCACTATAACATGATTTACCACCATAACCTCTTTGGGGTCATACTCTGAGCTCCCGGTTTTTGTGTAATCTCAAGATGGTGCAGAAGTGTCTGCATGCCACTGCGGGTTGAGGTAATCAGTCTGTGATTCTCCCCAAGTACATGTTAATACATTTTGTGACCCTTTTCTCCAATGATCTGCCTTTTGTGAGTTGGTTTCTTTAACATTTCAGAGGGCAAAGGGGAAGTTTTCCCTTGGTCCTTATGGTGGCTGATGTCCGTAGTAGACTTCCTGTGATATCTGCTATTTTGCCCCAATTTACACATTCTTTCAATGATTTCAATAGAAATTTTAGGATAAGGAGCTCTAGCTTTTTTAGCTGCTGATAGCAGGCTTGGGCAATAATGAAAAAAAATGGTGGGAGGGAATGAAGCTGTGGGGCCATGACTGTTGGCCCCATAAATGTTCACTGAAAAATCATTGGCATGAAGCAGATATATTAATAGGAGAAAAAGCATACAAATCTTAATTAACACGAATACACAGGAGCCTTCAGAATGAAGACCCAACTTTTCAGTGAGTTACAGAAAGTAGAATACCATATAGAGATTACAGAAGAAATGGGGACTTGCATTCAGGTAAAACAGGTTATGGGAAGGGAAAGAAGAGGAATTCTTTTTTTTTTTTTTAGTTGGAGTCTATCTCCGTCGCCCAGACTGGAGTGCAGTGGTCGCTCCCAGCCACTGCAGCCTCGACCTGCTGGGCTCTGGTGATCCTTCCGCCTCAGCCTTCCAAGTAGCTGGAACTACAGGCATCCGCTACCACACCTGGCTAATTTTTTGATTTACTGTAGAGATGAGGTCATGGCAAGTTGACCATACGGGTCTCGAACCCTCGGGCTCAGGCAATCCACTCA